TTAACAGAGTGCACATCATCATTTAAAGCTCTATTTTAATCTCAGCTACTTTTATCATTATGGTAATGAGCACACCACATGGTCAGTCAGTCCTCCCTTTTCCTAGACAGTGATTGGTTCAAGTCAGTCACAACACCCCCAGGCAACCAGAACACAACAGCTGATAGAAGAGGTGGCTTCTTTTTGCACTCAGGTGGATGTCAACTCGGAATAATAGGTCATTGATCCTGGCACAAAGAAGGCATCTACCTAAGGAGTAACACCTAACAGAAGGTGCAGACAACAAGACCATGCTGACAGCATTTGAGCACCAGGCTCTAGCTTATCGTTGCACTGAGGTGAAGCCCTACTCTGCTCACTCATCTGAGCCACAACCTCCTATATACAAGGGCTTCGCCAACTCAGCCATCCAGGTACAGGTTGGCCTTTCTCTCATAGGTTCCATTTACATACTAAAGCTATCAGTGAAAAAACAGTGGTTTGAACAAGTTTAGGACACTCTGCCTCTTACAGATCCACAGTGTACAGACCTGGACTGTGAAAAACAGAAAGAAAGACTCTGTACTCACTGATCTCAGGAATTCTCTAAAAATTATTTTCTAACTGGGGGGGGGGGGGAGGCCCAACACAGACCTCAACCCTCCTACATTCCACAGAGATACTTCCTTCTTGTCCTAGAAATGACTTCCTGCCACGTACTGCTCTGCCTTCCAATGGGTCACTATGTGAACTGCCCAATGCCTAAGAGTAAGCCTACTACTGCCCAGCTGAAGCGTGAAGTTCCCAACAATGCTCCCGTCTCCCTGCATTGTCATGAGCTGCCACTCCACTGAAAATTCACAACTTGGATAAAAAAGGAAGCCTTCTGTTACTTCTTCCATTTAGAAAACAAAATGAAAAGACTCTGTCAGAAAAAAAAAAACCTAACCAACTCAGACAACATCAACAACAAAACAAAAGCGATGTCAAGTATGGGGATGAGTAAGGGGTTTGGTCACTCTTGCAAGTTGTCCTTTGACCTTCATACAGGTACCATGTAGCATCCCTGCACTCTGACACACACCATGCACATAACAAATTAAAATATTTAAAAATGATGGCTTGGGTCATAAATATCATATGTGTGAGAATGCTTACATACACAGCATCAGTATATTTTGAGAGAGGCCAACAGAATTTATTGGTGGATTGAATCTAGGGAGAATGCAAATAGGAACCAGGGATAATTCTAGGGTTTTGCTGTCTGAGTTACTTTCTCATTGCTGTGACAAAGTACCTACAAAAAAGGTGGTTATTTGGGCTCACAACTTGAGAAGATACAGTCCACCTGGGCAAAGAAGGTTTTGGTGGCATTAGGTGGCTCATCACATGACACTACAGTCAGGAAATAGATAAGGAGGAATGCATGTGAGCACGGGGCTTCCTCCATTTGTACACTTTTTACTTCAGTCTTGAAGTCTAGTGCATGGGTTGGTGCTCACGACAGGAATTCCTTCATCATCTAAACCTCTCTGGAAATCTCCTCATGGATACACCCAGAGCTCTGTCTCAATGAGTCTAAATCATAACTTGCCACTGTCCCTACTGTAGTAACCTTCAGACACACTAAGTAAGCCAAACTAGGTCTTCACACATGCTCCTCCTCAACTCGTATATCATCTGCAAGGCTTACTGCAACAATTACCCAAATGACACTTTATCACAGGCCTTTCCCAACCACCTTAGCTAAAGGGCATACAATCCAACTCTACTGGGTGATGTAATTTTCTTCACATGATTAACTGCCTGATATCAGGATAACTGCACATCTTTCATACTACAACTTAACATTCATAAGCACTAAAACATTATTTCACTTTCACTGCCAATACCTCCCACATACAGCAAGCACACCAGACTTAACGACTAAATAATAATGTTTGATAATGTTAAACTTGCCTAGTCCTTCCATAATATAAGAGGAAATTCTTACCTAGAATCAATCTAAGATGAAAACTTAATCCCTTGGGTTTCTTCTATCACTACTGTCCTACACTATAATAGTGAGGAAGGCTAATCAGAGATCACCTTTGAGCATTACTAAGAACTACTAAAGGATGGTGAATGATCAAATGCCATATTAAAAGTCAAAGTTTCTTTTAAAAAAATTATACAGTGTTTACATCAGATCCACTAAAGGGAAATATAACTAGCAAAAAAAAAAAAAAAAAAAAAAAAAAAAAAAAAAAAAAAAAAAAAAAAGCCACAGAGATAAAAGGAGTCAATAGCTAACAACATTGTTACAGAGTTAGGGAGCACTGTGGAACACACAAAGCTAGTGTCTACTAAAGCTAGAGGACTTGTACACTGATATTGTTAGAATCAGCATCTAGGTCTTCTCTCAAACAATAAATATTTAAACAATGAGTTACCTATCATTACCTTGATGAGAAATTGGACTAGCAAAATCATTGTGGCTCCCTACAAGCATGGCACAACTAGTATAGTATTTCTAAGGAACCACCTGTCAATACCTTGAAACATACACATCTTTCATCCAGCAATTCGACTACTAGAAATTTACTTTAAGGAGTCAAATAATGTAATGAAATAAAATCTGACTCTATATCATAATCACTTTGACAGTCTCATTGATCACTATGAAGAAGCTAAAGTTTTTACTTCAGACAATCTGGTACATTAAATCCTCAAAAACATTTAAGTAACACAAAAATGAACTTTAGGGGCAAAAGGAAATAGTTAAATGAAGCAAAAAGACATATTAAAAATTCTTCTCAAAAGCACAGGAAGTCAAGTTTCATCGGTAAAGATAGAAAGGATAGAAGGATAGAATGGATAGATATGGTAGAGTAGTGGTTCCTTACACAAGCAAATTGGTAAGGAACTTTTCATAATAGCAAATACCCAGAACCATGAATTTCCAATAGCAACAGTCCTAGATCTTGAGGGCTCATTTTGGTTCCCTGAGGAGCTTTTGAAAACTACTACCAACAATATGGGTTCAATAGGCAAAAGAACAAAGAAGGAATAGAGAGAACATAACCAACAACTAAACCCCAGGCCAGTTGAATCGCTATCTAGGAATGGAACCTGAGCATCAATATACTACTTTAAACTCCTAATATTTCTCTTATACGTGTAGCCAAGATCACAAACCAATGTGCAGCATTAGAAGTTTTCACAGTGTGATTTCCAGAACAGCAGCATTAGCATCAGGAGGGTCTTGAAAGAAATGAAATCTTATGCCCTAACTATAGACATGCTGGTAATGTCTATTCAGTTATTCTGAATGAAGGCAGGTTCAACAAACCCTTCAAATAAATTTGTTTGATAGCCATTGTTCTAGAGTTATTATTTCATAAAGACTGACAAGAAGGAATGTCAAGTAGACATTACTGAATCCAATAATTTTAACATAAGTCTAAAAGCAATTCAATGGGAGAAAGAACAGTCTTTTCAACAAATGATACCAGAGCAACTAGATAGCCATACACAAAGAAATACAGCTGGAGCCCCATCTCACATCATACTCAAAAATTAACTCAAGGGCTGGAGAGATAGCTCAGAGGTTAAGAGCACCAGCTGCTCTTCCAGAGGTCCTGAGTTCAATTCCCAGCAACTACATGGTGGCTCACAACCATCTGTTATGAGATCTGGTGCCCTCTTCTGGTGTGCAGATATACATGCAAGCAGAATGTTGTACACATAATAAATAAATAAAATCTTTAAAAAAAAAAAAAAGAAAAATTAACTCAAAGGAAGTTACAGACTTAAATTTAGAAGACCTAATACTATGAAACTCATAACTTACACAGGACTAAATCTCGCTAACATTAGACACTGGGTTCTTAGTTATGACACCGAAAACACAAGCAACAGGTTAGACTTCATCAAAATTAAACTGTGTGAGCCAGGCACATACTTGTAATTACAGCACTTGGGAAGTAGGGGCAGGAGCATGAGGAGTTAACAGCTGTCCTCGGATACAAATCAAATTTGAAGCTAATCTGGGCTATGTGAAACCTGTTCTCAAAAAAAATTAATCTTCATGCTTTAAGGAAAGCATAAAGATGGTGAAAACACGGAAGAGGGAGAAAACAGTAAGTCATATAATGCAATAAAGAGCCTAGTATCAAAATAAATAAGGAACTAAAAAATACAAGCAACCCAAATTAAAATAGGGCAAAGGGATCTGAACAGACATATTTCCAAACAAGATATATAAATACCTGATAAGCACATGAGAGCTGTAAGCAAAACAGCACTTCACACTCATTGGGACAACCAGAATCACAATTTACCAAATTACATCACACAGAAAATAATAATAATAATAATCAGGCCTGATGTAGTCACACACATCTTTAATCCCAGCACTTGGGAGCTTTGTCTACATAGAGTTCCAGGCTAGCCAGGAATACACATTAAGACAATGTCTCAAAAAAAAAAAAAAAAAAAAAAAAAAAAAAAAAAAAAAGATAACCCAGCTAGAAGCACAGACACATGCCTCAAGAATGCCATATTTGGGCTGGAGAGATGGCTTAACAGTTAAGAGCACTGACTGTTCTTCCTGAGGACTCAGGTTCAATGCCCAACACACACATGACAGCTCATAACGTCTGTAACTCCAGGATGCCACACTCTCACACAGACGCACATGCAGGCAAAACACCAATGCACATAAAATAAGAAATAAATTATTTTTAAAAAGAGAATGTCATATTTAACTTCCAGAGAAGTAAGATATAATAGAGACCAAGCAACAGCCAAACAGAAAGAAGACAGGTGTGCCACAGCCGGCAAAGGAAGAGAGCATGTCCATGCTGCTTCATGAAAATGAAAAATTAAGGAAGAAATACCAAAAAAAAAGTCTCTCTGATTTAGTTACATGGAAATCTAGTTTCACAAAATGATGCTAATTACTAAGAAATTGGGACTTCTTTCTTTATATTTTTCTAAGGGGCAAGAGATCACTCAAACGATTTAAAATAAACAAATACCTTGATTATCAGAAATTGGTCTCAAGTCCTCTTGAAAGGTGAATCTGAAAAATTAAAATTAATTAGAAAATGTAAGTATCCTGTAAGTCACAAAAAACCACTGTAAGGCCTCTCTTTACAACTACCTTTTAAAGAAAAAAAAAAAAATTAGCCACGTCTGGCCACTGTGAAAACTTCCAACCCCGCACTGTAACACCACAGCACAGGGAAATTCACCAAGTAAGAAACAAGTGTTCTCTTGAGATACAGAAAAGTTTTCCAAGCAAAGGAACGGGAAAGGGGGTAGAAGAAAACGGGGAGGAGGGTGCAAAACCCCAAGTCACCTGCTCCTATGCCCAACTTGAGTGTAAAACACCATTTACTCTAAACCTGGTCCCGCAGCACAAGTCCATTCACGGGGAAAGTGGGGGAAGAAATGAGGCTAGACCGGGCCGTAAGTCCCTGGCTATGCCAGCATCATGCACAGCGACAGGGGCCTCTCTCCGGGCAGCTCTGCCTCCGAGTCCCCATCCCAGCTGCCAAGTCGTTTCAAACTGCGAAAACAAGCAAGAGATCGGCCCAAGGAGGGAGATCTGCGGAGATGAAACTCCGTCAAAAAGCAGCGCGGCCCACACTCGCTGGGCATTGGTACATTTGCCCCTCGTATCCACAAATCCTAAAATTCACCTGTCCAAAGTGAGAGAAAAACCACCCGCCGCTATCAGGAAAGTACACAGACTTCAGATGGAGCGCGCCATGACACTTGTGTCCCGCCAGGCTTATTTGCGCATGCTTAGCGACGGTAGCCGGGAGAGGTCAAAATACGTCATGGTTTCAAGTTTGCGTAGGATTCTTAATTTCACAATTGTCACTAAATTCTGCTGCAAACAAAGACAAAAATGCACTCCTACGCCATTAGATTACCAGAGTAGTTTACCAAATAACTTCTGCTGAGCCCTTATAATCACATGTCCCGGACAGCTAAGAGATTAACATGAACATCTCCACATTTATTATTACTATTCCTAGTTCATAAAAAAGAACTTGAGAATTTAAGCACTTCCCAGAGTAACTCCCGGAATAAATGTTTTCATTGCATTTTATCAGTTTCCTCCTTTATCTATCTATCTATCTATCTATCTATCTATCTATCTATCTATCTCTCGATCTCTTTTCAAACAGCCTTTCTCTATGTAGCCCTGACTGCCCTGGAACCCACTATATGGACCAGGCTGGACTTAAACTCACAGAGTTTAATACCACCCAAATGCTGGCATTAAAGACATGCACAACCATGCCCGACTAATTTCCTCTATTTCTATAGAAATGAATGGCCAAGGAATGTTTGGTCTATTGAATAATAATAGAGATCATTTAACACCAAACAATTTGGGGTGTCATTTGTTTCTAGGGAAACTTAGGGGTTCTTGTTTTTATTTGCTTAAATTCTTTGAGAGAGAGAGAGAGAGAGAGAGAGAGAGAGAGAGAGAGAGAACAGCTGGAGGAATGGCTCAGTAGTTAAGAACACTGGCTGCTCTTCCAGAGGTGGTCAGTTCAACTCTCAGCAACCAAATGGTGGCTCACAACCATCTATAATGAGATCTGGTGGCCTATTCCTCTTCTGATGTGTGTATACATAATAAATAAAGAAATCTTTTTTAAAAATTTTAAAAAGTCTTGTTTAGGTAGCCCAGACTGACCCTCAAGCTGTTGATCCTCCTGCCTGCCTCTGCCTCCTACTGCAGAAATTACAGTTGTGACCCACTGCACTAGGCTTGTATTTCTGCTTCTACAGAGACAATTAAGACTAGGCAGTTTAGTTTCATTTAATCATTTTATTGAAATACTTAAAAATAAAACTTAATACTTTCTTTACCACTAACACATAATTTCAAATAGAGCAAAAAGAAAAGAATGATAAGAAAATAAGAAACAAAATCTTAGAATGATGCAGATTTTTGTTGGAGGGTGAGTGGCTCTGGTTTGGTTAGTTTTGGGTTTTGATAGCCCATGTATGGGGACCCAAGGCCTTCTGCATGCTGAGCAAGCATTGTACCACTGAGCTACAGCTAAAGTCCCTAGTTTTTTCATATTAGTCTCCATAGTGAAAACTGAAGGAAAAGAAAAAACTGTGAGGCATAATGAAGTCAGTGAATTCTTATTACCCTCAATGGACAAAGAAAGAATAAATGCAAAAACTGTAAAAATTCAGAAACAGATTTACCTTATGATCTTAGCAATCTTCTATTGCATTGATGAAATTAAACCGATCAATGACCTTTTCATGATTTAATTTGCTCTTAGAAAATCCAAACTGCATATGAATTGTCTGTGCAGGGATTAGATAAATGTAATAATGGCCGACTTAAGACAGATATTTATTTGTTAGGTTAACAGGACAAGTGTAAGTGCTCTTAATTAGTGAAGTTTGGGAAGTCACTATGCATTGGGCAAAATATGCTGTGATTTACATTGACTTTCAACAACCTCTGACCAAAATCCAGCTCCAGTTTATTAAACAACAAAGGGATGGGTTATCACACAAGAATCAATGTTGGGCGCAAGGACTAAGATCAGATATGAGAAACTGCTTGACAGAATAAAGCTCCCCTGACTGAAAACCATACATCAATAAGGAATTTTGAAGAAAGATTTTTTTTCAAGAGTTGGATGAACCTAACAGCGAAGAGTGATTGTAGGAACAAAGTGAAAACACAAGGAATACTTTATCAATGTCAAAAGAAAGACTGCTTCAAGTAGATGAGTAATTCAGTACAGAGGATAGAAGAAAGACAGTGAAGTTATTAAATGATGATAGACAGTAAGATGTGAAATCACCTTTTGTCTTTGGAGGAATGCTGAAGAGTCATCTTACAGAGCAACCACTAGAGGTCAGAGTGCTGTACTTCTGACACCAGCTATTCTGGTCTATCATTTCACATAAACAAGGTTGCTTTAATTCTTTAATTAATTCTCTCTTTCCCTTCTCCCACTATCAGTACAAGTGGTTAAGAGGCTATGCAAGTGGCCTGTAACCCTTGTCAGAACAGTGAGAACACCACATTTCCTTGCCATAGAGCAGGTAACCTACACCAGGCCCAGGATTTGGGGCTTTGCCATAGGCACTGAATCTCCCAGGGCTACCACAAAAAAAAAAAAAAAAAAAAAAAAAAAAGCAACCTGCGGGTAACAAGAAAAAAAGGAAAAGCAGATGTGAGCTATGATGAGAAAAATCGGTAAATTCTAAAGACAATTTTAAGACCCTTGCTACCCAGCATACCCAGAGCTGTCTTTATTTCTAAGTTATGTCTTTATTTCTAAGTTGTTAAGTTTTGTGAGCAAGTAAATCTCTATATTTTCCCTTAAAACAATCCAAACGCATTTCTATCCCTTGCAACCTAAAGAACTGCTGTTGTTGATGATGATGTTTTGGTTTTGGTTTTAATTTTACTGAGACAGGCTCTCGTGTAGGCACCAAACCAACTATGTAGCTAAGAATGAACTCGAATTTCTGATCTCTTGCCTGCACTGCTCAAATTACATACTAAAATTCTTGTTGTTACATAGTCTCCCAATGACTAAAAATATTAACTCACATCCATTGTATAACATTGTCATGGTTAATAAATATCAGCAGGAGACATAATGTTTTCTCCACCCTTCTGTTGCATCACCTAATACATAATCAATTTGTTGTTGTGGGGAATATAACTCAGTGCTAGAGCCCTTGTCTTAACATGTCTAAGGCCTCAGGTTGGATCTCCACTGCTGTGAATATTGACAATGATAGATCTGCTGTTAGTTAACATGAACTGAGTTACATAATCTTTTTTAATTTTATTTATTTATTGTTATGAGTGTTGAGACCCTTGAAACTGGAATTACAGACAGTTGTGAGCTGCCATGTGGGTGCTGGGGATTGAAACTGGGTCCTCTGGAAGATCAGTCAGTGCTCTTAACCACTGAACCATCTCTCCAGCTCAGAGTTACATAATCTTAACTGCATGGATTCAGTATACTAAGGACTATTCCAAGTGCTCAGGAGCTGAAATATAGCAAAGTCTCTTCCTTTTTTAGAGGGGACAAAACATATTAAATATAGCCAGGCATGGTGATACTCTGCTTTAATCCAGCATTTGAGAGGCAGAGGCAGAGGGATCTCTGAGAGTTCCATACAGGCCTAACCTACACAGTGAGTTCAAAGCCTGCCAGGGAGAAGAAAGAAATTTCCATGAACAGAAAAACAAGGGTGAGGGAAGATTATAGGTGGAGCAAATACGGGAGAGAAAGGGAAAGATAAAGAATGTGGGGTCTTAGCTACTTCCCTGTCTCCCATACAGTTGGTGGGTTGTTTTATAGCAAGTGCTCAGAGGTATACATTAAAAAATCTCATAAATATGCTAGCCTTCCCACTAAATATTAATGACATTTGAATTGAAGGTAACAAAAAATTCTTGCTCTCTTTAAACGGGATGAGTTTAGATACACCTAAGGTCATTTTTAATTACTGTTTAGAATTTCATTCACACATGCATAATCTGTGTTTTGATAAGATCCACCCCTGACTTCCTCCCATCCAACTCCGTCTCCCACATCCCGTCACCACCACTTTTCCCTCCCAAGAATTTCATATTTAATTTTTCAAATGTTTTATCTGGAAACAATTTCAAACTCCTTTTTCTCTTTGAGACAGGGTCTTTCTCTACATAGTCCTTGCTTTCTTGGCACTTGCCATATAGAGCAAACTGGCCTCAAACTCACAGTTTGCCTGCCTCTGCCTCCCAAGTTCTGAGCTTAAAGACATTTGCCTCCAAGCCCAGATAATTTCCAACTTCTTAAAAGTTGCCAAGATATTGTAGTTGATACACATATAATCTTCATCCTCAGATACTAACTAACACCTTAGTGATCACAGCCAGGAAACTATCATGGACATAAAACCATCTAACTGCACAAACCCCAGAAAAGTCTTCAGTTTTCTTATCTTCCCTAACCTTGATACTTTGGAAGAAGAATAGTGCAGTCATTTTGTAAAATGTCCCTCAATTTGAGTCCTTGGCTGCCCTGAAACTCGTAGAGATCCACATGTCTCTGCCTCCAAGTACTAGAATTAAAGGCATTTGCCTCTACACCTGGCACAGCTACACTTCAGTCATGGATTTGGGACAAGAATGCCAGGGGAGAAATGTTGCCCCTGCCCCTTAGCCTATCTCAACATGTCTCATTAACAGTGGCGTACTTTGAACACTTGGTCTCACCACTGCAAAAAGACTCTTGTTCCCTCGGGTTTTCAGTGAGTGACTTGAGGGCAGACACACTGAGATTACAGTAACATCTTGTTTGCTACCTCTAATTGCAGCATCTCTAAATGACCCTGCAGGGAACAATTATCACTGTGGTGTTTGCCAAACGGGGACTTTCCAGTTCTATCATTCCTTCTACTTATTTTATTGAATGGGATCTTCCTTCTCATTTATCTACTCAATTATTTATATTAGTATGGATGCACAGTGTTCATTTTATATTATAGCTTCTAACCCATTGTATTACTTGGTTGCTCAAATTATCCAAAATTTGGCCATGACTTGGGTTGCCTTCAGTATTCTTTGGACATGCCTGCATTTCAAGTATACATACATGCTTTTTTTCTCTGTTATTGCAATAGGCTCCAAGCTCTTTTGTACTTTCTCTGCCCTTTCCCTGCAATCAGTCTATTCTCCATAGAACTATACTTGCTATTAGTTTAAAATGATATCTAGAAAGTAAGATAGGAGTCAGGCGTTGATGG